CACAGCAGTTCCCCCTTTTCTGTCTCGAATTTACACCTCCCAAACTAGCCTGACTAGCATGAATTCCTCCTCACTGGCTCAGTGCCTTTGCTGTCAGAAACCCTCGGCACACACACACATCAGCCAAAAGGTGGCTGCACACAAGGAGCAAGGAAAAGCCACATGGAAGTGAAATTAATCACAGAATCATAGAATATCATGAGCTGGAAGGGATCCACAAGGATAATTTCGTCCATCTCCTGAATTTTTAGAGGGGCTCCTCTACCTGCCACCTCCACTTTTCAGCTCAGATTCATAATCAATTTTAGCAAAGGAAACATATATAATATTTTTTTCCAGTTTAGCAACTAAAGTCAGCCAGAAATCATCAGATTCTTAGTGTGCCCAATGTGAAAGACATTGGTGTTTTTTGCTCTGATGATCAAGGGAGACAAATAGTTAATGTGGTTCAGACAGTGGAGCAGGACTCCACAAACCTTTTAGGTAGAAGTCCTCGACTTTGACAAATAAATCTGCCTTAATTATAAAATACTTTCTTTCTGGAGTGGACAGATACATTAAACAGCAGTTGCTGGGGCACACAAAAACCTTGCCTTTGTAACAGTTTGGTTTTCTCCCTCTCAAAGGAGGGAGAAACCTTTGCTATTCTCTACTGTTTTATTAAATCAAACAATGCCACCAGTTATTCCTTTCTGGAAGACAGGCACCCACACAAGAGGACAACCCAGCACCCAGTGTAAGTTTTACTGCTTGACTGCAGCTGAAATTATAGGTAAAAAGTAAATAATATATAAAAGCTACCAGCAGGAGCTGAGGGGCCAGATCCCACCTGTGAGCATGTCCCCCTTCCTGCCTGGCCTGCCAGAGGATCCCCAAGGAAAAGGGCAGTCCAGGGGGACAGGGTGCATCCTTCCATTTTGTTAAAAGTAATATTTTATTACAAAATTAATTATACACCATTAGAAATCACTCGATCACCTCCCCACCTACTGAGCAGCAGATTCACACAGACCATGCTTCACAGGTGTTATGAAAAAGAGAAACAAGGCTCTTGCTGAAGATGCAGGGCACGCCCACAGCTGCTCCTCTGCCCAAGGGTTTTCCTTCACCCGCTTGGTTTTGCTCTTGGAAGTCCACCCTTCTACTTGTTTCCTTTTTCCTTGTAGCTGTTTGCAAACAGTTTAATTGGTTCTTCCACTGTCCTTCTGAGAAGTTAAATTCTCCTGTGTTGTCTGACAATACCCTTTTCCCGACTCAGAGATGGAGCAGCTGAGAGATGTTCCTCATCTCAAAGCTTACATACAAATACATACTGTGTGACCCTTCTATCAAACCCTAAAAGCTCTCTACAAATCTATTTCCTACACTGTATAACTCCCCAGTTCCTCCTTTTGAGGAGAGGAGAGCACTTTCCCTGAGGAGCGGGGGTTAAATGAAGGTGGGTGCAGTAAGGGCAGCCCAGTCTGGGTTAAAGGCTTTGCTCTGTGCCTGTCACACCCTGAGTGTCCCCACGGGCCAGGGGCTCTGCTCTGTGTCCCTTCCCAGTGACCTTGGGCACTGCCAGCCTGAGTCTCCAGCTGAGTCCTGGTACAACCATGTCACTGCAGGATTTGGCCTTGACTGTAACCAACACCCTTCAGCCAGAGGTTTAAATCACTCGGCTCCCCAGGCTGGGAAAGCCCAGCAATGACAGACTGATGTAGGAGGTATTGGATCGTTGTCAAAACCGAGCAGACCAGTGTGCCTGGTCAGCAGCCTGCCCTGGTTTCCTTCAGTGCTTGCTGGAATGTGTCACCCAGAGGCATTTCTTTGGAAAATGACGAGGTGACCACAGCACCAGCGTGCCCAAAGCATCCCAGCCTGCCTGCTCCCTGCTGACTGCAAAGGGGTCAGGCAAAACCCCAAGAGACTCCAACTTTAGGGCACCAGTGGAAGAGGGACCATCTCGGGTTTCCTGCTGTCAGGATGACCTGAGAGTCCCTTTTTCCCAGCCCGATGGTCGAAGAAAGAGTTGGGATTCTCCGGCTCTGGTTCACAAGGTTGTTCACTGTTGATTATCTAAAATATTTTTTCTCAAACCCGCAGAGGTCTGACCTGCAGGTCTGTCAAGGGCACACTGCCCGCCCCTGGGCTGGCGTCCACATTTTATACCATGAGTTACGTGTACTTTATTTATCATTATTTTCCAATACCTATTGCCTATGTTAGGCTGTCTACTTCTATTCTAAACCAATCCAAGTGCGCCCCCATCACCCAGAAGATGGAGGCTGGGAAGAGAAGAGAGAAGAATAGGTCAACGCCCATGTCCCTCCATCTTGCCTCCTAGACCCCTATAGTAAAAACCCCCAAAACTCCACTTTTCACCCTGTGATGAATTAATTATTACTCTGCTTAAACTTCTGTGACTTGTGATTCTTCATACAAGGTTGGTAATTTGCCCTGTGGGTTAAGATTGAAATCCCAGGTGTCTTTGGCTTCCTGCCAGGACTCCCCAGGCCCCTGCCAGGGGCACGTGTCACCCTGGGCACCCAGAGGGGTGTCCTGGGTTCCAACAGGACCAAAGTAATTCGGATGAATTACTCTGTTCTGATGAACACAGCAGGTTTTGGGAAACGCTGGGTGTGTGCAGTGGGTCTGGGATGTGTTGGGATTCCAAAGGCCTGGGAGGTTTCAGAGGGAGAGCAGAGTCTCTGAAAGCCTCCAGGTAGCATGCACCTCCCTGTGCAAGGCAGGGGGAGAAGCTGAAAGCAACCAAAGCCAAGTAAGAGTCTGTGCAAGGTGTTTGTGATAGCCCTGGAAGTGTTGTCCTTCTCCCGTTTTGGATGCCATGCCAGGGACATTACCTGAAATGCAGCTTTCCTGCTGCCAGTGCTGCTAACTCAGGCTGAGAGGCACTTGCTCTGGGGGAGTACAGAAATGACAAGACAATTCCAGAAATACATAAGCACAACCTTCACACACAAGTTTTTTTAGAGTTTTAGGAAGAAAACCAGTACAAAATCCAGGGTCAGGGCGAGAGGAGATGGAGACAGGGAAGAGCTCGTGTCTGGTTCCTGTGTAAAATATGAGAATCACAGCCTTCCAAGGGTTTGGGGTGTGTTAGCTCAGCATCCTGGTGTTTTTGCAGAAACTGAGCAGTGGGCAGGGAGCCCAACGTTCTTTTCCTGGAGGGAGCAGGTTGGGACCACTCAGAGCAGCTTTCCTGAGGACCTCATCATCCCTGGATATGACATTGCAGATCCATAGAACCAAACAATCCTCCTCACATCCCTCCAGCCCCAAAAGGCCTCTGCAGCACCTCAAGGCAGTGCTTCATTCCTCTGCAGGGCTTGGCCAAGCCTGGGTCCCATCCCAGCCTGTGTTTCCAGGTGCTGTGTGGCACAGAACACCAAACCCAGGCTCTGCATCCCCGGGAGCTGCTCTGGGGCAGCCCCAGCCCTCCCTGCTGCGGCTGCAGTCGTGTTTCTGATTGAGGAAGGAGGGTGAGAGCTGTTTCCAGGAATAGGAGCTTGAGCACACCCAGGCAGTGACCAGAGGTGGGAAGGGAACAAGAATTTCCACACCAGTGGAAGATGTGGACCTTCTTTGCTGAGCTTCCATGACCCCTGGTGTGCCCTGCAGCCAACACCAGAGTGTATTCCTGACTCACCCCACCTCAGCTCAGCGTGGGATGTCCTCACAGCAGCTCCTGCCCAGCTGCTGCACTCCCCTCTTCCTCTGGTTTATGATCCTTGCCTAGATGGGAGAGCACATCAAAGACCACTGCTCCTGCTTCCTCTGCATGCAGGTTACATGACAGGACATGTGCCTCATGACAGGTTAAGAGGGCGCATTTTGGGGAAGGGAAACTTTCTGACAGCTCATCCCTAGAAGGCAGGCAGGTAGTTATACTCCCAGTGGGCTCCATCCTCACCAGGAGAAGGCAGCACCTGACTTTGGTCACAGTTTGGTAATTTACAGCAGAAAAAAAGTCCAGCAAAAAGAGCAGAGGAAAGAGCAGTGCTGGACTGCCCCCAAAGAGTGCTGCAAAGTCTGCCACCCAAAATAAGAACAGGAGATGGACCCTGCTTCAGACAATTGACATTTGGCAGCTCTGGGTGTCACAAGCAAAAGTCACAAAGAGACCAACTGAAGGCATCCCAAGGGACAAGCTTCCCTCTGCCAGGACAGAAGCTTGCATGGCCAGGAAATGCCCCTCTGGGGGTATTTTATGGACTACAGGTTTCCAAGTGTGCAAAAGGGCAATTTGTTCTCAAACAGTTCTCAGTTTTCTCCTTCCAATGCTTTGCACAGCATCCCAAGGCTTTAAAACCAGAAGAAAATTGTGAAAAGGGAATTGCATGTTTTCTCTCCAATCCCTTATGCTATCCACCTGTCCCACATCCTTTCCTATTCATTGCTTCTTTACAGAAAAGGGATTTCAGGAGAATTATAGGATATAATTATATAGGCTATAGGGAGAGAGCCAGCCCTGTAAACTCCCCACCTGAGGGTGAACAGAGAGGTGAGAGCTTTTACTGACAAAAGACTGAGCGAAGACAAGCACTGTCCACCCAACACTTCGTTATTATTGGAAAGAACACGTATCAAGACATCCACAGCTGAAGCTATGAAAGACATAAACACCTCTCCTTTGAAAGGCCCTTACTCAAAACTGAACTGGGATGCAATAAATCAGCCCCCACATTCACACAGAAAACCAAAAAAAAAAAAAAAAAAGAAAAAATTAAAAAAAAAATAAAAGAAAGAAAGAAAGAAAGGAAGGAAGGGGAAATTTAGATTAGTCACAAAGAAGTTCCCCCGCCTGCTTCTGTGCGCATAAAGCAATCTCCTGAAGGCACGGTGTGCACTTCATCTCTGTCCTGGCACGGCAGCCCCAGCCCTGCTCCCTGCCGGGCCCTGCCGCTGCCATGGACAGACAGGCTGCCATGGACAGACAGGCTGCCAGGGAAGGACGGGCTGCCATGGAAGGACAGGCTGCCATGGACGGACAGGCTGCCATGGACGGACAGGCGGACACTGAGCCGGGAGCCGGGCAGCAGCTGCGGCCCCACAGGCAGCGGGCAGAGGACGAGAGCAGGCTCTGGCAGGGAGGGCAGGTCAGGAACACGCTGCACCTCGTCTCCGCCGTGGCTCAGTGGATTCTGCTGCTTGCCTGTCTGATTTACCTGGGTGTACATTTTCTGCGGCCCTCAAAGGTAAGAACCATCGTTCAACCCTTTTTTCTGCTGGCCTGTAAAGCTTTGTATGGGTTTTGTTTTTTTTTTTTTTTTTTTTTTTTTTTTTTTTTTTTTTTTTTTTTTGTTTTTTTTTTTTTAGAAAAGAAAAAAGCTTTTAAGTTTATCCCTATCCCTATCCCTATTCAAGATTTTAATCCCGTCTGTATGATAGTATTTTTTTTCCATTTATTTTATTTTTATTTTAATTGCCTGTCCTCAAATGACATTCAGTGTTGCCCAGTGCAGGGTTTGGGCCCAAGTTTCCAGCAGAGTGACTGTTCCAAGAATGCTTTTTTCACTGATCCCTGGGGGAGGGAGGTCTGACTCCCTCCTGCTCTTGCCCCTCCCTGCAGTGACTTGTGCGTATTTCCATTGAATTGAATTAGATTGTGTGCGTGAATGATAACCCAATGTGCTCATAAACGCCTCCTGGACTTCCAGACTGTACTGGATGGCAAGCAGATGTGTGAGAAAGCAAGCCACCCTTGTGACAGCTCTAGCAAGACCTCCTGACGCCTTTGGGTGCTCTCAGCCTGCCCTTAGAGCAGGGTTAGGAGCAGTCTCCTCCTTCTGTGCCTGCCTGAGGAAGGCTGGTGTGTCCAGAGAGAGTTTTGTGTGCCCAGAGCACCAGAGCAAGCAGGACAAATACCAGAAATGTTTGGGGCTCGCAGTGCTCCAGCACAAGCTGCAGCACAGATGTGTTTGGCTCTCTCTCGTGCTTGCAGGCTGCTGGATCGTCAACAACCTTTCACTGCTGCTTCAGAGCTGCTGCTGCAGCAGCGATTTCTCCTCCCACTCCTTCTCCAGGAGCTTTGCACCACTTTAAAGCTTGTTGTGCTTTGTTTTACCCCAGTTCATTCTTTCCTCCCACCCAGGTTTGGCACAGAAGCAAGCCAGGCGTGTAACATGGCCTCATGCTCCTCGTGCTGCTTAGTGAAAACCCTCGTGCTCTGCACAGCTTTCACTGACTTGAGGCTCACAGTGGCTATTAAACTGCAGAACAACGATCCAGATAACACTGAAAGATAACACTTGTCATTCAGGTCAGTCCTCTTCTCCTTCCCCTGCTCTGGGAGAGAGGAGTTGCACTGTAAGGCAGCTGAGGAGTGCAGGCAATCCCAGTGCTCGAGGTGCACAAACCTCTCCCAGGTCACACTCTGGCTGTCAAGGCTCATCTCTGGCTCTTCTGTAAAAATGCTCCTCTTCCAGAGGAAGATAGCAGGGCCTGGCATTGCTGCCTGGGAGCCTTACAAACCCTCAGCAGCTGCGGGGACACAGTACATGTCTGGAGCTTCCCTTCCTCAACAGAAATAACAGGGGGCTCCAGGAGCAGCAATGGCAACAGATGAGAAGTCCAGGTCCTGAGAATTCCCAAAGGACCTTTTCAGTTTTAAACTGAAAAGGTCCTTGCTAACTACAGGGTTAGGACTATTATTTCTGTTATTTTAACAGATAACCCTGGTGTCCTGTTTGGAGTGCCCTGCTCTACGCAGGAGTGGTACGTGGGGAGATTTCATTGCAGTGCAATCCCAGCACTCAGCTGGACAATCATGAACTGGCCATATAAATGTCTCCTGAAGGAGTAGCAGCACTTGACTGATCCTGAAAGGGATCTGACTGGGCTTTTGGGGCAGTTTAGGGATATTTCTGGAAGTAGGGGCACAGCAGCATGAGAGAGGCAGGCTTGGGAGTGCTGGCCCAGGGAGTGAATGAGTGGCTCTCCCTGTCCTTGGGAAGAGTCTCCTGCTCTCCAAGGTGCAGAGTGCCATGCTAACTTTATTTGCAAGGGAATAACTGTGTTTTTTTCACATAGAGACAGTATTTGATTCCTTTCCATTGTCCTCATGGAAACATGGCTCTTGAAAAAAGCCCTCCTGGACTGTTCTGTGAGAACAGAGCATAAATAATGTCATAGCACATCCTCAGTAAAGGCAGCATCTGCAGCCTAGACTGTGCTTAACAAAAAGGGACAGTGATCTCATTTGTCATGATGCTGTCTGGAGAACAAACCTCAGCTGAGATATCCAAATGAGGAAGTTAAAAAAATTTCACTGATAATCTGCTTTTGTATCTGCAATTCCCACCTCTGCTGGAATTGCCTTCTCTTGCCACACCTTTCCTCTTGCTTGGGAGGTAAAATCCTGATCCTGGTGAGGAGAGGGACAACACCCTTCCAGAGGACTGTCACCTGCCACCGGTGGGACAGCTCCACGTGTGAGGTGCCCTCAGTCAGCCCCCTGAGGTTCGTGCTTTGTGCTGTCCAAACTTGTTCCTGAAACTGGTGCCAGTGGCGTGGCCCTGGGCAGTGTCCCGGCAGGAGGAGTCGCCTGCTCAGGGATCCAGAGCAGGCAGGAAGGAAGGGTCTGTGTGTAAATGGCACGGGGAGACCTGAGGCTGTCAGGAAGAAGCACCTCTGTGTCCTCAGCCCTCCTGACACACTTTCCCACATGTCCTGTGAAGGCAGAGCAGAGAAAGACAGGTCTCTAACTTTCCTACAAGCTCCCCGAGTCCTTCCAGTCCCACCAGTGCCTCGTGTCCTCAGCAGGATTTACCAGGAGATTCCTGCACAGTGCTCTGAGATCGCACAACAACTGCAAGAGGGACACAAATCAGGCCATTTGCTGTAGTGACCATGGGGTTGACATAAGTGCAACCATTCTGTCACCCGGGCTGTCAGTGCTGGACACACTCTGTCCATCGGTGGCCAGATCACACAGATTGTGGCAGAGCTTGTTTGACCCCAGATATGTGCTCAGTGCTCTGCTCTTGTCTTTTTGAGAAACTGCCTGGAAACCCCGGCTGTGTGAGCCAGGAGAGAAATGCTTGTGCACTCAGGAATAAGGTCAAGCACGAGATTCCAGCTGAGGCAATGGACAGGGACGGTGATGCCAAGGGACACAGTTCCAGCGGCTCACGGGCCATTAAAGCTCGTGTTTGCCAGCGGTCTCCAGCCCCGAGGCGCGGAGCATCAGCCGTGGCAGCACTAGAGGGTGCCAGAGCAGACCTTTTCCAGCTCCAGCTCCCACCTCAGCCCCGCACAGAGCGCTCCCAGCTCCCGCAGCCCTCCCCTGCCTTTTCCCGAGCCTGCAGACAGTCTGTGCTCACACCCTGTGCGTTCTCCCTGCCCCTGTGACACTGAGCCTGAATCCATGGAACCAGCCCAGTCCCATCTCACACTTCTCCTGTGACACTGAGCCTGAATCCATGGAACCAGCCCAGTCCCATCTCACACTTCTCCTGTGACACTGAGCCTGAATCCATGGAACCAGCCCAATCCCATCTCACACCTTCTCCCTTAGGGAGCCTTTGGCACAGGTAAGGAGAGGAACACAGGGCACAGAGCCCATCTCACACTTCTCCTGTGACACTGAGCCTGAATCCATGGAACCAGCCCAGTCCCATCTCACACTTCTCCTGTGACACTGAGCCTGAATCCATGGAACCAGCCCAGTCCCATCTCACACTTCTCCTGTGACACTGAGCCTGAATCCATGGAACCAGCCCAGTCCCATCTCACACTTCTCCTGTGACACTGAGCCTGAATCCATGGAACCAGCCCAGTCCCATCTCACACTTCTCCTGTGACACTGAGCCTGAATCCATGGAACCAGCCCAGTCCCATCTCACACTTCTCCTGTGACACTGAGCCTGAATCCATGGAACCAGCCCAGTCCCATCTCACACTTCTCCTGTGACACTGAGCCTGAATCCATGGAACCAGCCCAGTCCCATCTCACACTTCTCCTGTGACACTGAGCCTGAATCCATGGAACCAGCCCAGTCCCATCTCACACTTCTCCTGTGACACTGAGCCTGAATCCATGGAACCAGCCCAGTCCCATCTCACACTTCTCCTGTGACACTGAGCCTGAATCCATGGAACCAGCCCAGTCCCATCTCACACTTCTCCTGTGACACTGAGCCTGAATCCATGGAACCAGCCCAGTCCCATCTCACACTTCTCCTGTGACACTGAGCCTGAATCCATGGAACCAGCCCAGTCCCATCTCACACTTCTCCTGTGACACTGAGCCTGAATCCATGGAACCAGCCCAGTCCCATCTCACACTTCTCCTGTGACACTGAGCCTGAATCCATGGAACCAGCCCAGTCCCATCTCACACTTCTCCTGTGACACTGAGCCTGAATCCATGGAACCAGCCCAGTCCCATCTCACACTTCTCCTGTGACACTGAGCCTGAATCCATGGAACCAGCCCAGTCCCATCTCACACTTCTCCTGTGACACTGAGCCTGAATCCATGGAACCAGCCCAGTCCCATCTCACACTTCTCCTGTGACACTGAGCCTGAATCCATGGAACCAGCCCAGTCCCATCTCACACTTCTCCTGTGACACTGAGCCTGAATCCATGGAACCAGCCCAGTCCCATCTCACACTTCTCCTGTGACACTGAGCCTGAATCCATGGAACCAGCCCAGTCCCATCTCACACTTCTCCTGTGACACTGAGCCTGAATCCATGGAACCAGCCCAGTCCCATCTCACACTTCTCCTGTGACACTGAGCCTGAATCCATGGAACCAGCCCAGTCCCATCTCACACTTCTCCTGTGACACTGAGCCTGAATCCATGGAACCAGCCCAGTCCCATCTCACACTTCTCCTGTGACACTGAGCCTGAATCCATGGAACCAGCCCAGTCCCATCTCACACTTCTCCTGTGACACTGAGCCTGAATCCATGGAACCAGCCCAGTCCCATCTCACACTTCTCCTGTGACACTGAGCCTGAATCCATGGAACCAGCCCAGTCCCATCTCACACTTCTCCTGTGACACTGAGCCTGAATCCATGGAACCAGCCCAGTCCCATCTCACACTTCTCCTGTGACACTGAGCCTGAATCCATGGAACCAGCCCAGTCCCATCTCACACTTCTCCTGTGACACTGAGCCTGAATCCATGGAACCAGCCCAGTCCCATCTCACACTTCTCCTGTGACACTGAGCCTGAATCCATGGAACCAGCCCAGTCCCATCTCACACTTCTCCTGTGACACTGAGCCTGAATCCATGGAACCAGCCCAATCCCATCTCACACCTTCTCCCTTAGGGAGCCTTTGGCACAGGTAAGGAGAGGAACACAGGGCACAGAGCCCAAGATTCACTCTTTAATGAGGAAAAGGCTCAAGATTTGTGGTTGAGTAGAGACTGCAGATTTGGGTCTCCTGTGGTTATGATGAGAGATGAGTTTGAGATGCCGAGTTCAGATTTAAAAATCCAGCGCAGAAGCTCGGTGTTTTGCATATCTGAGTGGTGAGACACACACTTCTATATTTGCATTCACTTTCTCTGTTACATTCATAAAATACAGAGTCACAGAACGGTTTAGGCTGGAAGGGACCTTGAAGGCAATCTCTTTCTAACCCCTCTGCCATAAGCAGAGAGGGTCACCTGCCACTCTTCCAGGCTGCTCCAAGTCCCTTCCAAGCTGGCCTTGGACACTTCCAGGGATGGAGCATCTGCAGCTTCTCTGGGCACCCTGTGCCAGGGCCTCACCACCAAAATTAGGAAGAATTTCTTCCTAATACCCAACCTAAACCTGCCCTCTGTCATTTTAAAACCATTCCCCATCCCTCATCACTCCAAGCCCTTGTCAAACTCTCTCTCCAACTCTCTTGTAGCCCCTTTAGGTACTCAAAAAAAAAGTTTTGTGTTAGGAATGAGAGATGGATGGATTTTATTTTTTAGTTTTTTTTTAATTAGAAGTTTTGTATGTTGTTAATATTTTGCATTTAGTGTATCAAAAGAAGGTCTTAAAAGTGATAAGATATATAGATTTAAGGTTTTATAGTTATTTTGTTTAATTAATTTTCAGAATGTATTTTATTTTTTTATTAATAATTAATTATTGTTTATGTATGTAATATTTCTATTGTGATTTTTTAAATTAATTCTTTTATGTTTTTAATATTGTAGAAAATGGAGTAGGTGAAGAATAAGGAGAAGATTAAATAATGTTTAAAAATTTTTATTTTGTTTTTTATTTATTTTGTTTAAAAACTTACTTCTTAAAATGTTGTGATAAGTTATATTATTATTTACTTTATATATTTGTAGATTTTAATTTATTTTAAAGTTTTGGAGGGTTTTTTTTTGTGGATGAAGGTTAAAAGTAGTCAATTTTTTGGGATTAGGATATTTCAGGATAGGTAGAGAAATATCTTTGTGTTTTCCTTGTTGCTTGCTCTGCCTTGATGCCCACACCAGTGTGGTTTTAGGAACAAAACCAACGCTGCCTGGGGTGCTCTGCGGGGCTCAGCACTGGGCTGGGAGCCAGGCTGAAATAACATTCTATAATAATGAAATAATATTCTGTAATAATGAAAGAATATGCTATAATAATGGAATAATATTCTGTAATAGTGAAAGAATATGCTATAATAATGGAATAATATTCTGTAATAGTGAAAGAATATTCTATAATCGTGGAATAATATTCTGTAATAATGAAATGACCCCGAGCCCCAGTCGGAGCTGGCTGGCAGCAGCTGTGATGCCCAGGCTGCCCACCGTGCCCCTGGAGCTGCAGCTGCTGTGCCCCTGCAGGGAGTGAGGGGTCCTGGCAGGGAAATGAAAGGGCAGCAGCAGCAGCAGGGAGGTGCCAGCCCCGAGCCTTAAGGAGGATTTATCTGCTTTGTTTTGCAGACCCAGAGTGACAAAGTGCTGTGGACCTACATCCGCTACACAGGTGGGTGTTGGGTGGGGGATCCGGGGAGACCCTCGGTGACCCCCCAGTGCAGCAGCCACCACCCTGCCGCGTCCCCTGGCACACTGTGAGGGCTCCCCGCAGTCCCCCGGGGTCTCCTTGGCATCCTGTGGCCCCTGAAATACCCAAACGTCTCTTATGTGCTTGGTGCCACAGGGATGGATATTTCTTCTGCTGGGGGACAGGTGCCCGGAGAGCTGTGGGGGAGAGGGGCCAAGCCTGCCCCAGCGCTGCAAGGGGACAAAATGAAACAGTTGGGGTTTCCCAGAGCAGAACAAAATACCTGAAAATCTGCGTGGATCCTGCGTGCCTCACCTATCTCCTGAAACACTCTTTCACTCTGTGAATGAGCAAGAAAGGCATTTTTGAGAGTTTGCTAAATGCACGCTCTTGGGTTTTTCTGAAACAAGTCAATGGTTTCCTGATTTATGAAAAATGTAAATGATTTCCTCAGGAGGAGTGGGTGAGAGCACACACCGTATCAGATGTGCTGCTCGGCGTGCCAGCTGCACTGGAGGTCTGTCTGATGTCACACCTCAAAGATAAAACCAATCAGTAAAGCTTTTTAAATAATACTGAAAATATTATTGGCAGTTTTGCTTTCAGGTAAAGGCGCGAGGCAGCAGGGAGCCCAATCTAACAGAAACTCATGTCCTTCAGAGGAAAAACTTCAGAAATTTGGCCCCAGCCCAGAGGGGCTGTGCTCCCTGCCTGGAGATGCCCTGGTGCCAGGGTTTCAGCTGCTCTGCTGGGAGCCCAGCACAGAAACATGGCCAGCACAGCCTGGGAACTGTTACTCTTCATTCCACCAGGAAACCTTTCTTGCCAAGTTCCTGTTTAATTTCTCCTTTTTCTGCTCTGTATTAATTAGTTCCTTCTGCTTCTGTCTCTTTACTGATCTTTCATCTTCTCTTCTGGAAAAAAAAAAAAAAACAAAATCAAAAACCCACAACCAAACCCTAAGACAAGGGCTTATGTTACCATCATTTCCACAGAAAGCACTTTTTGTCTTCCAGCTCTGGATGCTTTTTCCTCATCTTATTTACTGTCTTAATTTTCCTGGTCTTTTAATGAACTTGTTCTTTCTAAACTCACAGTGATGCGCTACTTGCTGTATTTTTCTGTATTCAAAGACACAAAGTAAATTGTGCATAAATAAAAATTTGGAGGAGCAATCCACACAAACCATGTGCCAAAAGGCACAGCTTAGTCAAGAGTGGTAATCTGTAAATTTCCATGGAAGATGATGTCTGGCTAGGGTAGATAATATTCTAGCTCTGGTCTGTTAGATTCAGCTTTTTTTTTTTTTTTGACTTAGCGATGGGGTAACTGGGAGGTGTTTTAAAAACTTTTATTTTTAGTCTTATGTGAAGGGTGAAACAATGCAGATATTATAATTTACATTATTATAACTAGAAGTTAACTATTTCTTAATTACAATCAATTATAAATGTTTCTTGGTTTATTAGTTTTTATTACACTATGTTGTAAATGTTTTAAAGTTAATAATCTGAAATTACTCTTTGTGGGTTTTACTACAATGTATTTTTCATAGTTTTATTTCTCTAAAGTATTTAGTCTTACTTGTAAGGCTATCTTTTGAAACTTGTTTCTAGCTCTATTTCTTTCTCAACAATGTTTGTCTTATTCTATGGTATTTCCAAGTCAGTATTTTTTATTTCAGAGTTTGTGTACAGATGTATACTATGTGAGTCTCTTGTCAGACTTTGAGAATACTCTACAAATCTATTCCTCACATTGGTCTGCCCATTTCTCTAGTTTACCCTCCCCTTTTTTCACATTTTTCAATCTCCCCTGGTGTCAGGTGGTGTAAACCAACACATTTCCTAGGAGACACTTGTCACCACGGGATCATCTTTGCTTCCTTCCCTTGCAGGCCGGAGCAGCAGAGGAGCAGCCGTGAACCTCAGTGCGGAATCCGGGCCCATCCGCATCAGGAACGGCTCCATCCTGGTCCCCTGTGACGGCCTGTACCTCGTGTCCCTCAACAGCTCCGTCTACCTGGAGAAGGAGGAGGAGGACTGGCTGAATCTGACCCTGCAGGGCACCAACAGCGTGCTGTGGGAGCAGATGGTCCAGAGCAACAACAGCAGAGTGAACTTCACCGCAGTGCTCTACCTGTTTGAGCAGGACAGCATCACGCTGTGGACCAGCTCCAACGCCAGCATCTCAGACCTGTCCCTTAGCCTGGTGCTCGTAGCTGAGAACAAGTACTAGCTGCAGGAGCTGGAGCAGGAAGGGCAGCACGGACAGCACAGCTTCCCCACGCAGCTGTAGGTTTTGTACTTGCACAGGCAGACTGCTCTAGAGCCCCTCGCTGCGGCCGCGGAGGGCTCGGTGGGAGTGCAGAAGAACCACAGGTTTCATATAGCGCGCTCAGGGTTCGCCTCTTTGGAGCTCTGTGCAGCTGATTTGCTACCCAGGATGGATCTTTCCAGCACTGGGGAAAGGGATGCGTGGAGCTCTTGAGAAGAACAGAAATGAAAGCCAAAGAAAGCCACCCAAGCTTAGCTCATATTCAGAGAAACCCCAGGTTTCTCTATATACTTGACAGTATCTGTATATAGTAGGAATGTGTTGTGTTTTTCCTCAAATAAAAGTCTGGTGAGTCAGGAAGATACCTCAAGTGTCCTGAAGCCACTTGGAGCAGGAGGACCATGAATCTGCCTGGCAAGATGGAAAACAGGGAAGAGGCAGCAGGGAATGCCTTTGGAGTGAGGCAGAAAGGCTGTCTGAGAGGAAGGGCCGTGAGAGAAGGTGGTGTGTGGAAATGAGCTCACAGGAGTGCACTGGGCAGCAGGAGCACTGACTGTGGAATTTTGGGGAGCAGCCTTTGAGAGCAGAGCCCCTCTGGCTCTTCCAGGTGTCTGCAGACTACTGAAGCCCGAGCCCAAGGAATATCTGCTGGGACATTGACATCTTGAGATCTGAGACCTCAGAGGAAAACCTCCTTCAAGCACACACACACACGCTGGCTTGACCCAAAAGTGATCCAGGCACATAAAAAGTTGGGCAAAAGTGAAGACTTCTGGATGTGGTGAGCTCTCTCTTCGGACCAAGGGGAAGCTGCAGGTCTGTGCAGCCTTTCCCCAGGGAGAACTCAGGGAGGATGGTTCCCATGGCTGCCCTTGGATTTGTCCCACAGGAGTGCACCAGGGATTCCCAGGCACGGGCTCCATGGGGCACCAGGCGCCGCTGCCCGGCTGCTGCTGCACTCAGACCCCTCTCAGTGACCCTGGGCTGCTCATCCCTGCTCATCCAGCTCAGGGCTGCTGGAGACAGGTCCTGGCCATGCTGCAGGCAGCCCCTGACCCCAGCACAGCCAGCAGCTGGGGGCTTTTTGCTTGCAGCAAGGCAGATTTTAACCATGTGTCAGTTTTTGACTTCGTGTCTCCCAAGGAACTCCATCAACATTTCAGCATGTCGCTGCTGGCTGCACACTCCAAAGACTTCTGTCAGAAGTATTTATGTATTTAAACGATAGGCATAAGAATGTTACATCAGATTGCTTAGAAACACTGGGAAGGGTTCAGACCAGGTGCTCAGCACTGAACTCCTCTTTGAAAATGCTCCCAGTGCTCTGGGCTGGTCCTGCTTTTCGGGCACCCAGACCCGGGCTGATGCACTCATGGCTGAGCACTCCAGCAGACTCAGGTGCTACAGGCAACCAAGGACATCCTCCAGGCCTTGGGGAGCTTTCCTGGGCATTAGGCTAAGGAGCCTCCTTACCTGGGCCAGGCCAGACCTCGGGGTAACTGGCTGAAGCAGCTAACTCGTGTAGTGCCAAGAAGCAGAAGTGCCTTTTCCCCCCTCAGCTGAGAAGCCGTGGCTGGCTTGCACCCACAGGATGCTCATCATTAAGGGATATTTTGGGCTTTTTACCCTGGCCACCGCTCACCACCACGGGGACTGAAGGCAGCTGCACCCTGCCCGGAGGCTGGGGATTGTCACACTCCCCAGCAGAAGTGAGAATGTGTTTCTCTTCCTAAAAAATAATAAATTTTTCCTTTGCAACATTTGGGCTTGTAGTGTCCTTTGGAGGCGGGGGCTGGAGGAGAAGGAGGCTGGAAGTGACAGCTGAATGATACACGGAGTGTTTGAGCAGACATTTCCAGCGCTATGGAAACTATATGAAATTTTCACATACTTCCTTTTTTTTTACAGTTCAGCTTTTGTTCCAGCTCTCCACGAGGGTGTGCAGGGCTGGTGCTTCCCAGCACGTGCTAACACAGGGCAGGCCATGCCAGTGGTGTGTGCAGGGCTGCACAGGACAGCAGGAAAGGTGAAGCCTGGAGAGCACAAATGGATTTGTTCTTTGGAAGGCTGCACCTTGTCTTGTTTAGAGCAGGAGAGGGCTTTTCACTCACTGATCCCACTTCACTTCCAGGCTGAACTGGACTGACCTACATCTATACATACACCTGCACTTGCCTTGAAATACAGGTTGAAAAGATTCAACTTCTGACATTGATTGCTTGATGGACTGACTGTCCTCATCAGTAAGTTCCCATGCCCTCAGTTTTTGTTGGTATCCACCAGGTTAAAAGTCTCTTTGATATGAGAAACACCAGTTTTTGTTGCTGGGGTTGTGGAGGCCCTGTAGGAGCTCACAGATAGAGTCCCACCTCACAGCTCTGTTCAGCCAGGCCAGTGCCCCCAGGGTTTAGGTCACCCCTTGAAGCCAGGGCTGTGGACGTGCCAGGCTGGACCAGGCAGTTCCTGGAGACAATTCCTGACTACAGAGGGGCAACACAGTGTTTTTCCTGTGCTGACTGTCATAAAAAGGGGACCCCATGGTGTGTCCTCTGTGACAGATGACAAATATCATGTATATAGGTTAAGAAAAGTTTTACAGCTTTACAGTTATGTTTTACCCCCTTGTGTTGTTATCAAGGGACAACCTGGGTTTGGGACATCTCGGAGGGTCAGCTTGTCACTGTGGCAGCACCTGACCTTCAATCAGGATGTGAGGAAGAGCTCTCCACCACTGGACAGCCAAGAAGAAGTCGATGGACAGAATTTTGGGAGGGGCTAAAGGGTTAAAAGGCGAAACCTCCATGGTGTGGGTGAGCACGTGGTGGGGAAAATCCTGTGATATTGTCTCTATTCAGACTTCTGTTGCATTTTTGATAAGGTTTAATAAACCTTTCTCAGTTTCTGAAAGTGAGTAGCATTTTCTCCCACCTCCCTTTCCACGAGGCCGTCTCACAGGACACAGCCATCAGCTGGGTCGTGAGTGACCCCTGGCTGTCCAGGCAGCCTCTCCCTCTGCTGTGGTTTCGTCTGACACACGCTGCTGCACGGGCTGCAGAGGTGGCCACTGTGAAAAATGCCAATCACTTGTTTTAAATTTTAAAAGTTTAATCGTAATAAAATGGTTATAAAAACAGTAATACAAATTAGAGCAATAAGAATTTGGACAATCAGAGTTAGGACAATAAAAGCAAAGAATTATGAACGTTGGGATGCTTTCCTCTTGAAAGCATGACTCACTAACAAAGGATTAACCCTCCAAAGCAACAGGCTCTTGCATATTCATATATCTCATACATGACTGAAAAATTTATTTCAAACAAAGGTGTTTTCTGGTTATTGTCAACTTCCCTCTCTCATCCTGTAAATCAGTCATCTCAGTCCCCACCAAGTCTGGTCCTTCCCAATAAGGAGGCAAAAATTCTTCTCTTGGTGATTTTGGTGTCCTGTTGCTGTTATCTCTGTGCAAAGAATTCCTTGAGCTAGTTAGAAAAAGTACCTTACATCACATAGTTTCTATTTTAATATCATGTTGTAGCCTAAAACTATATTTAACACACTGCTGAAAAGGATTAATACACTATAACTTTCTAACATAACACATATAATCATTTTAATATTTGCAAAAAGCCAATCATATAATATGCATTTGTGAAAAATGTGTTTTATGCTTGGCTTTTCGCAAATATTAAAATGAATATTATATATTTTATGCTAGAAAGCTCTGCTGTATTAATTTTCTTAAGTAGTGTGTTAAATATAGTTTTAGGTTATAACATAATGTTAAAATAGAAACTGTGCTATGTAAGACACTTTATTTTAAAGAAAGGAATGAGGTACTCACACCAAGATAGCAGCCACAGGATCCCTAAATCTTTCAGAGAAAAAGAATTTATTGCTCCCTTAACTTCTTTCTGTCTTGCTCAGCTATGAAGATGCCGTCAGGATTCAGAGGAAGAAGGTGACACTGACCAGACAGAATCCTTTGTTTGAATGGAATTTATGTATCATGTATGAGAAGTATGAATAAGGGTTTTTTTAAAGGTTAATCCTCTGTTAACGTGGGCCCTTTTTCGGGCTTATTTTGCCCAGAAAGAGGTGCCTGGACTGTCCATAACTCTTTGTTTTTATTGTCTCATATTGTCCTAATCCCAATTGTCCTAATTTTTATTACTCCAATTATATTACTATTTTCTTAACCATTTCGTTACTATTAAACTTTTAAAATTTTCAAACCAAGTGACTGGCGTTTTTCACACCACTCCTCCCTCTCTTCTCCCTCTCCCTCCCCTCTCTTGTGGCTCACGTTAGGGGTGACAAAGCTGATGTGAGAGCCACGACCACCCCTGGCAGAGGAGCTGGCCTCGCTGCTCCCAGAGGAGAGGGAGCGACCAAGGGTGAGCAGAGCAGAACGGCATGGAGGCTGCCTGTCCTTACACCAGAAATGATGGGAAACATTTACAGTCCATTCGCACCATGTGAAAATGATCTCATTTTCTACAACATATGGTTATCAGTAACAATGCTAACGAGCTGTGGTTTTTCGGACACCATTTACATTTAATCAGCCAGCGTGAGTCACAGCTGCTGCCTGCCAGCTTCACTGGAGAGAAGAGAAAGTCAAAGTGTGCTTGGCAGAGTGCAGCTGGCTGCTGCTGCTGCTGTAGAGCCAGCACTGTCCAGCCCAGACATTAGAAAGCACAGGAATTGTGTTTCCTTATTCAACAATCCAAATGGGAAAGTATGACAGAGACTCGAGCGGCCTCCTGCAGTAACTAGCTGGGAAGGTTTGACTTATTACAATTTTCTCAGCAACATCTCTAACTTCAGAGCTGGTTTTGAGCTGCCAGTTGGTTCCTGTTTTCCAAGGGATCCAGACCAGCCCCAGAGAAGCTTGCTTCCAGCTATGGGGCAATAATCCACCAAAATAAGCAAATTGAGCAACACACGCACTGAGGACAGGG